CCAGTGGCAGTCATGATGCCAGGTGGGGTCCTTTATGTTGTTCTGTGGGTTCTTTGACTTCACCACAGAAAAAAATTTCAGAGCAAATCCAAAGCACAGCTTAGAAAAGATTTTATTAGAAAGAAAAAGGGCACACTCAAGGAAAAAGGTAGATGCCTTAAGAGAAGGGGCACTTGCTTGCCTTTGACAATAAGTTTTATACTTTTATAACAATGATTAAGCAAACCATGAGCTAAGTAAGAACAGAGGGCTGTAGGTATCTATCTGGTCATGAGTTTTGATTACTGTCTCTCAACTTAGAAGACCACAAGGGCATTCTAAATAATGAAAGTTACTATCTAACTAGATTTGGGCTTTTCTTAGAATATCACATCTGTATTTGAGTAATTCCCTATTTTTTCTGATTTACTGCACTGATAGTCCCCCATTCCAACCCACAAGGTGGCCAGATCTGAAATGTCAGGTCTGTTGGGTAAGGTTGTGTATAGATAAGAAAGATGCCTGAACATTTATTCTATTTTAATTTAGACCTGCCTAGGACAACATGCCTAACTACTTCTAAACAATGTTAACTATGTCAGTCTCAGTATGTGGACTAGGATGGCAAGTTTTGTTACTGTCTGAATGGGAAAGTAGCCAGCGTTTGCATCTCCTGCTATAGTTTGACCATTTTCTGGACAATCTCTTAAGGCCATTCTTGGGAAATGAGTTAGGGGCAAAGTGACTGCAGCCTTTTCCCTAGAGAGGCTGTACCTCATTAAATGTTTCCCATCAAAAGCATGACCTGCGTCAAATGTTGTTTTCCAGAGCCCAAGTCTCTGAGCCTCACCTTATGTGTAATAAGCTTAGCAGTTCTGTCACCTTTAATTAAGAAGGGAATTCTTCCAAGTTAGCCCTTCCAACCTGCGAAAGCTTCTTTTGCTTCCTAAATAAGTTACTTTGTTTAGGAAAGCTATTCTCCAATTCTAATATAACTCAATAATATGGCTTTACCTCCTTCAAATATGTCAACTGACAATCTGCTCTGAGTCATAAAGAAGGAAATGTGATAACTGTGGATTTGTTACCAGGGACATTTTGTCTGTGGCACCATGGTGAAATGTGAATGTTAGTCACTCTTTAGAAATACAGGCATTGTGCATTTGTTCCTAAGAAGGCTTTGAAGGCAAATCCAAAAAATAAAAATTGCTAGGGAAGGAGTGAGAAAGGGAGCACTATCTGACAGACAGTAGCAGATGATTTCATAATATAATGTTTATTATCTATCAATGTTTCTATTTGACATCATAACTTATGGAACTGATTCATGCATTGTACTGGTACATTTGTTTTATTTCCTGTCATGATACAGAGAGTTACAATCATTCTTTCCTACTGGATTAGCAAATGGTATTGTATCCCTGGGAGAGAGGTACATTGTGATGTAGTTCCAGACCCTTCTCTGGAGATTTTTTTCTCCCAGCTTAGAGTTATTCATGCTTTTCTAACTTGGTCATCTCTCTCATGTTTTTTAGTGAGAGAGGCTCTGGTATTTTTATGCCTAGACCACTTAACTTAACACCCCATCACTTAACCCGATTCATTTCTCTCCTCTCTTTTAGGGATCCCTGCCCCCACCTCCCACCCTCACAGGTGCTACCGATTTCCTCAATTTATCATATTACACACATTTTTCAGAAAGGATTACAAAGCAAACTCACCTAAATTTTCCAGCATATGTAACCATAATCACTGTATTTAGATTCAGAAGAAAAGTTTCAAAAACATATGGTCAAATTTTCTCATCTGCAGAATTTTTAAAAATACAGATTGCAAATGGTTCTTTAACTTGCCCGAGTCCATGAAGTTTCTTAATGTCACAATCTCTTATTTTTTTCTAGAAATATAGCACTGTTTCTATAATCTTTTTCCTTTTCTCTTTTCTGGAAATGAGAACTAGTTTTTTTGAAGGAAGAAATGTTGTCGACATTATAACCTTGATTGAAGCATTACTACTTTAGCAAATATTTTGCTAAAATATTGAACGTCAAAATCAAAAACCAAATGATTTCCAAATATATTTATTTGCATTTTTATGCTATGGACTTTTGGATATAGAGTTTAGTTTTTTATTATTTTGATTGAAATTTTATGAACTGCAATATACTCTGATTTGACATGTTGTAAATCACATCAGTAATGAAATTATTAGTAATTTTAGTCTACTGATTGATTAGTTGTAATCAAAGATAGATGATAATGTTCTTGAACCAGCAAAGCATAGACAAAATTGTTTGGAAAAAACCTGGTTAATATCGGTTGCATTAATTTCAACTTCCAATAATTTAGACTAGTCTTTTTTTTTTTTCAAAAAATTGAAAAAAAAACCATTATAGAAAACTTAACCCCTTTAATAAAGTATGCTTTCCTTACACCTTCTTTTTTCTTTTTTTAATCCTTCAGGAGTAAATCCTGAAGTGAAATTCTCCTTTAGTGAAAGTATTTCAGGCTTTATTTGTCTGAAAATGCTATTTTTCTTTTTTCTTTCAAAACCAGTAGTGGTGGGTAAAAATTTGAGCTTGATGGTTATTTTTTTGCAACATTTTGAGAATATTTTCCTATAATTGTATCAATTCTGTTGCTGAGACGTAATTTCTCCGTCTAATTGTTACCTCTGTTTAGCTTATCTGTTGTTTTGTTCTGTCTGCTTTACCAATCTACTCTTCTTTTGTGTTTCACAGTTTCACTATGATGTGCCTAAATATGGATTTATTTTTATTTGTTCTTTTTAGGCATTGCTGTATTTCTTGGAACTAAAAACTGGCAGCTTCATTAGTTTTTGAAAATCCTCATATATTGCATCACCAATTATCTCTCTACTCTTTTCTTTTCTTTTTTAAGTTGGAATCTCACTCTGTCGCCCAGACTGGAGTGCAGTGGCCGCTCCCGGCTACTGCCAGCCTCGACCTGCTGGGCTCCAGCGATCCTTCTGCCTCAGCCTTCCAAGTAGCCTGAATTACAGGCATGTGCTACCACGCCCGGCTGATTTTTTGATTTA